AGTAGCCAGAATGAAGCTAACTTTTCCTGAACTGGTTTCATATCACAGGTAAGAATGGAAGCAAATACATTTATAAAAGAAATAAAGACAATTTTTTTTAAACTGGCCTTTAGTTGACACCATCTCATAATGATTCCATAAAATAACATAGGCAGGGAATAGATTGGGACTTAATCAAATGTCTTATTCATTTAAAGGGGTATGTTCATATATATATTTTATTATCTGCAACACATTTCTAACATATATGCCATCTTATCTTGTTTATATCATATACTTAGCTGAAGAATTATCTGCCTTCTCCTCAGTGATCATGCTTGTATGGACCGACCCATTTGTAGGTCTTTGATGTCAGTCTCTAATTATATTACCTTAATGTTATTTACATTGCTTCTGAGAGTAGAACTATGCTCCACAGGGTTTGTTGTTGTGGTTTGTTTGTTTATGTTTCTTCTTGAATCCGTTTGCCAGAGCTTTCTCCTGAGGCTTCTCGAGTTGGACACTAACCTCTGACCTGTTCCGTGGGAACCTGAACTTGTTAACATTTTGCATCCCGCAGGGACCCCCGTTATTCAGCAGACTGTGGAATGACAGATACAACGGGGCTTTACTGGATCCAGCGTGGTATTTGCCTGCTTTAGATTTATGTTGATGATTAATACTATCTGTTTTATTCATATTTGCTACTTTATAGACGAAGCAACACCAGCAAAGCCTCACGGGTTAAAAGATAAATGTTCTGTAATCGCTTCATAAAGCCATTGGCTATAGGTTGGAATTTGGTAAAACATTTATTTATAATTTTACTTGAAAGAAACCTTGGAGAGTTTAGCTATTCCAATATGAATACATATGTACTATAATGATGTTTCACATCATGGACACAGGGCAGAAAATATGATTAAGATTTATAATTATACTTTGTAAGACTCATGATTGCAAATGTATTTATTTACATAGTCGCACATTCATTTATTCGGTAAGCCAGCATGTTCCAAATGGCAGGCACATTTTCCTACTTGTTTAGGTCTCTTGCTACTGCAATGACTTGCCCTCCACTGCCAACCTGAAACAGAGCCCCCGTGGCCTAATGGTTACGAGTTCGGCTGTGATCCCTTAGGTCAGCAGCTCAAAACCCCTAGCCGATCTCTGGGGGAAAGATGGGGCTTTCTACTCTGGTAAAGGCTTACAGTCAGACACTCAAAAAGTCACAGAAACTCGCAGGGCCAGTTCTACCCTGACCTATAGGGTCACTATGAGTTGGCAGTGACTAGATGTCAGAAAATTACTAAAATAAAAGTTTAAACCAAAACTCTCTAACACCAAGTCAACTACAATCCGTAGCAACCCTATAAGGACATGTGATAATGGCACTTTGATAATGGCACTTGTGGGTTTCTGAGACTGTAACTCTACTACACTCATCCCCCCCGTCTGTGGTGCTTTTGAAGGCTGGCATTAGGGTTAGCACACAATGAATTACTCACTGTGCCACCAGGGCTTCTGGACCTAAAAGATTGGTGGTAGTTCTACAGGGAGCTCTGGGGGTCTCCCTAATGATTACAAGGTGGGTTGCATATGCAATGTCAGCAGTTCAAATCCACTAACCTTCCCACAGCAGAAAGACAATGCTTTCTATACCGATAAAAATCCACATGGCTGTTCTACCCTGCCCTACAGAGTTACTCTGAGTCAGAACTGACTCGTTGGTAGTGGGTTTGGTTTTGATTTTGTTGTAGAAGAAAAGCCTGACATTCCACTTCTGAGGAGAAGTTCAGTCAAGTAAAAACTCTGGGGAGGAAGGTAAAAGGAAATAGAGGAAAGGGCTAGGAAGCAAAGCTTTGGATAGCGGTATAAACATAGGTGTGCATTTATGTAAATGCATTCATTCATAAAAATAGAGGTACTGGCATAGGTACACATATTTATATGGAAATACATTGAGGAAGTGGATGGACTTTGGGCCTCTGCTCAAGCCCTCCCTCAACGCAAGAGCACTTTGTTCTAACAACCTGGCATTCCGTGATGCTCACCCTCCCATCGTGGTCGCTGAAGACAGAATGTGGTGAAGAAAGCAGATGGTGCCCAGCGATCTAAAGATATAGTGCCTGGGGGCTTAAAGGCTTAAAGTTAAACCAACGGCCTCCAAGCAAAGAAGCAATAAGTCCACATGGAAGAAGCATACTAGTCTGTGTGATCATGGGATGTCGAAGGGATCAGGTAACAGGCATCAGAAGACCCCAAACAAACAAAAAGCATATTGTTGAGAATGAGCGGGGTTGGGGCAGAGACCCCAAACCCATCTATAGACAACAGGACAACCCCTCACAGAAGGGTCTCAAGGAAGGGATGGGTCAACCAGGGTGCAGCATAGCACTGATGAAACACACAATATTCCTCTGGTTCCTACTATCATGACTGCAGTCCTGCCTTTCACTGTGGGCTAGGCTGGAGCATGTACACACGTGCAGATAAGAGTGCAGGACACATAGAATCCAGGTCAGATAACCCCCTGAGGAACAGATA